GGGGGGGAACTCGGGCTTTGGGGGGTGTCAGGCCTAGGGCAGGAGGGGCTTACTTTGAGCAGCTCATTCAGCAGTGCCGGGGGGGAGAGGGAGGGGGACTAAGGCAGCTTCCTGCCTCTCTTGGTACCACAGACCAGGCTGCGCCCCCGAAGCAGCCGGCAGCAGGTTCCCAGCCAATGGGAGTGTGGAGCCAGTGCTCGGCACAGGGGCGCTGGGCCTGTTGCTGGCTGCTTCCCCAGTGCAGGACAGGCAGGGACTGCCTTAGCACCCCCACTGGTCACCCGATCCCCCTCCAGCCACCAGACCCAGTGCCCCACATTCCACCCCCCAGGACTGGGTCGTTTGAAAACCACTGGCTGTATTCAGTGTTCACCCCATCAACTCCCCTGCATGGCAGGTTAACGAGCCCTATTCCTCTATACCACTGGCCTCTGCACACCTGACTTTTCTGGACAGGTCAGACAACCTAAGCATGAACCCAAACGCCTGCTCTTAAGCAACCAACACCACTCACATCAGCTCCTCTCAACACGCAGCAGATGTTGCTTTTCTATCCAGCCAGCCCCCGCCTCTCGCCCTGCCACTTCCCCATCCCTCCAGAATCAAAATTCCTCACTCTCGGTTAATGGTTTCATCCTCACATGAGCCCTGAGAGACAGGAGAGAATCATCTCTCATTTACAAATAGAAACCCGAGGCACGGACCCGTTAAATGACTTGCCCAAGGTCACATGCAGAATCAGTGGCAAAGCACTGACCCCACTTCTACAGAGTCCTTGTTACTCGCCCTCCTTTGTCACTTGGCCTTACCCAATAAACCCACCTTCATTCCCATTTGTATTTGTAATGCCACTCTAGATGCACAATTCCCGTGTCTCTAGAAATAAACATGCACGTAGTCACTCAAGAGAATACTTACAAGCGATCCAAAAAGGTGGCGCCTCCGTCTGCAAACAAACCTCTCAAAGAAATATCAAACACAAAATGCTCAATATCCCAGAGATTGAAAGGCACCAGCTAAAAGGGAGAAATTCAGAGCGGGTAAGAGACACTCTAGTGATGCAATCCAGCGAATGGCATAAAACGGGGACCAAGGAACGGTCAGGAACTCCTACACCTGCCCATTAACACAATTTACTCAAGTGTGGCCTGAGGGTTTACCAGCACGAGCGACTGGCAGCGGCCCGATTTCATGGGTCGCTGGGATTTTAAAATTAAAAAAGTTGAGTTCCTTGAGCAGAAGTCAGCGATTCCTCCCCAGGAATAGCCGATCCCGATGTTCCAGCCCCCAAACCTACCCCGCCCCCGCCAAGGACAAAGAAAGCTGCTATTTCAGAAACCAGTTACTCTGCACAGGCCTGGGGGGAGCCCGATCAACTTAGAGTACTTGAGTACACAGTGATGGAGTCGCTGGACTCGCTTACACCCACAGAGAGTTTGGCCCAAGGAAAAGCAGATCGGTAGCCAACAACGGCAGCGCTTCTTCCAACTCATGGTCGACACCCGACAAGAAGCAGAGACCTGCACTATTAAGTCTGCAGTACTCTCTGTAGGTTTTTCTTTTTTAACTTTGCTACATAATTCGATTCCAGGGATATAATTTTCTATCAAATTCTATAGGGTGGCTTTAATGTTGTCAATTTCTATTACGTTCAGCCGGACCCTTTCATCAGAGACTGGAGAGTTTTAAACAGGTCACTTAAAAAACAGGGCTCTTCCGCTATCAGTTGCCCCGTAAGACATCCCTTCTGCACTAACGGCGTTGACGCTTGTAGGAACGGATACGTTGTAAGTCCTCCCACTCCCTGTTCTTAAGTCGTGCCAAAAAAAAAAACAATTTCCACAAAATGGAAGTCAGCCACAGGGAAAAATGTCCTCGCTTTAAGTTGTTTCGCTATACATCCAAGTTTTTTGGAACATATCTTGGACCTATAGCGAGGACAGCCTGTATTGCATTTCTCAATCAACCCCCACCCCCAGATACACAAGTTACTAGACATGTGACAGTTTATTTCTTGCTGTAAATGTTTGCTGAGGTCAAGGGAGCTGCTTTGTACTGGAGATCAGGACAAAGTCCTGCCCCTGTTTAAACCCAAGGCAAAATACTATTTGTTCAGAGCTGACTTTATGCATTGAAGCCAGGAACTGTGCTCTTTGTAGCTAGGCATGGAAGAAACAAGGAGGGACTGACATGCACATTGATAACAGGCAGCTGGTGTGCCAACCAATAATGTCTCGTTGTTTCTTTGCGCTGCCCTATCTGTATCTTGCCTGAGATTGTCAGAGCGCGGCAACAGGGCCTGTCTTTTTGTGCTGTGTTTACACAGCATCATAGGATCCTCGTCCATGACTAGGGCTCATAAGAGCTACCGCCAGACACGTAAGTGTATTATTGTTAGAGATACCGTATGGCCTGCCTTCTCCAGAAGTTGCTTGGTCTCCAAAACTGCCCGTCTCATGGAAGGACCCGGCCTTGTAAAAGTATCTGTGTCATAATAGCCGATGCGGAGGGGCCGTGAGCCGGAGAACACCTGGAAGAAAGGGATAAGGGAAGGTTGGTTGTGGTTGGAACTTAGGCCAGGTCTACCCTTGACCCTGCAGTTCAGCAACTCCAGCGACATAGAATACGTAGGCTGGAGCTGGCTTACCTTAAGCTGAGCTTGGACACGTCCCCACAGCGGGAGGCCGACAGGAGCAAATGCTCTTGTCGGTATCCCTTACTCCTGGCAAAAACAGAAGTACAGGACTGATGGGGGTGCCCTCTGAGTTCGATTTAGTGAGTCTTAACCAGACTCACTAAATCAAACCCCAGAAGATCAATCACAGCAACATCGATCTCTTGCAGAGTGACGACATGGCCTACCAAAAATGACAGTCTGACGCTGCAAAGCCAAGAACATGCACCTATTAAACCAATCCACATGGGCAAGACTTGCAGTTCCCCGTGTGCCAGCATGTACATCCTCCCTCTGCCCATATACTCATGGATACGGACCACAGAAACACAGGGCTGCCAATTTTTTGAAGTGGCCCCCAGGCAAAAATTATTGCCCACACCTGACCTAGACCATCCTTACCGGGAATTTGTCCAACCTGTTCTTAAAAACTGCCTATGTTGAGGATTCCACAAGCATAAAACACTAGAACTGGGACCTCGAGAGGTCATCGAGTCCAGTCCTCTGCCCTCATGGCAGGACCAAGCACCATCTAGAGCATTCCTGACAGGTTTGTGTCTAACCTGCTCTTAAATATCTCCAGGGATGGAGATTCCACAACCTCCCTGGGCAATTTATTCCAGTGTTTAACCACCCTCACAGTCAGGAAGTTTTTCCTAATGTCCAACCTAAACCTGCTGCAATTTAAGCCCATTGCTTCTTGTCCTACCCTCAGAGGCCAAGGAGAACAATTTTCCCCCTTCCTCCCTGTGACACCCTTTTAAATACCTGAAAACCACTATCATGTCCCTTCTCAGTCTTCTCTTTTCCAGCCTAAACAAACCCAGTTCTTTCAGTCTTCCCTCATAGCTCATGTTTTCTAGATCTTCAACTATTTTTGTTGCTCTTCTCTGGACCGTCTCCAGTTTCTCCACATCTTTCTTGAAATGCGGTGCCCAGAACTGGACACAATACTCCAACTGAGGCCTAATCAGCACAGAGTAGAGCGGAAGAACGACTTCTCGTGTCTTGCTCACAATACACCTGTTCATGCATCCCAGAATCAGGTTTGCTTTTTTTTTGCAACAGTATCACACTGTAGACTTATATTTAGCTTGTGGTCCACTATGACCCCTAAATCCCTTTCTGCTGGACTCCTTCCTAGACAGTCGCTTCCCATTCTGTATGTGTGAAACTGATTGTTCCTTCCTAAGTGGAGCACTTTGCATTTGTCCAATATCTCTTAGAAACTTATTCCAGAACTTAACTACCCTGAGAGTTAGAACGTTTAACCTAGTATCTAACCTCAATCTCCCTTGTTGCAAATTAAGTCAATTACTTCTTGTCTTACCTTCAATGGACAAGAACAACCAATCACCGTCCTCTTTAACAGCCCTCAACCTATATGAAAATTTTCACTGGCTCCGCCCTCTGCAGACTTCTTTTCTCAAGACGAACCATGCCCAGTTTTTTTTTAAACTTTCCTCATAGCTTTTCCTCTAGACTCTCTTCCATGAGCTCACATCATTCCCAAAGAGTGGCGCCCCAAACTAGATGCAATTCTCCAGTGGAGACCTCACCAAGGCCGAGAAGAGCTTGGCCCTGGTGAGCTCTGAACACCAAAGGCTTATGCCAAGAGGGAGAACTCGTACCCGAATGTGCATCCGCTATGAAATTCATGCAAAGGATGGTCTTGCAGGTAAAGCTGGAGACTTGGAGAACCTGTGTCTGCTTCTGACCTGACCACCGATGGCACGGCATGTCCCAAGCATGTCACTCCCCTGCCGTGTGCCTCAGTTTCCCCATTGTACAATGAAAATGATATTATATGACCCTCACAGGAGGGAACGGAGTTGGGGGAGGTGTAATTTGCTAGAGTGCTCTGAGATAGAATCATAGAATACTAGGACTGGAAGGGACCTCGAGAGGTCATTGAGTCCTGTCCCCTGCCCTCATGGCAGGACCAAATACTGTCTAGACCATCCCTGATAGACATTTATCTAACCTACTCTTAAATATCTCCACAGGAGATTCCACAACCTCCCTGGGCAATTTATTCCAGTGTTTAACGACCCTGACAGTTAGGAACTGTTTCCTAATGTCCAACCTAAACCTCCCTTGCTGCAGTTTAAGCCCATTGCTTCTTGTTCTATCCCCAGAGGCCAAGATGAACAAGTTTTCTCCCTCCTCCTTATGACACCCTTTTAGATACCTGAAAACGGCTCTCATGTGCCCCCTCAGTCTTCTCTTTTCTAAACTAAACAAGCCCAATTCCTTCAGCCTTCCCTCACTGGTCATGTTCTCTAGACCTTTCATAATTCTCGTTGCTCTTCTCTGAGATCCCCTCAGCAGAATGCAAGCGACTGTTGCTGCTCTGTATTTCAAGATAAAGGATAATGAGCTGTTCATGAACGGGACACACTTGGGACATTTCTCCTCCGTTGGAGACGTGTCTGGTTCTTTACCTCCCCATTGAAGGGCATGGGGGGCACGGTGGGGTCCAGGCGGAACATGTCCTCACACAGGAGCGCTCTCATGCACAGGGCCAGGCTATCCACGTCCTTCGCCATAGGCCCGACCCCTACGACAGCTGGAACAAACAAACAAACAAACAAAAATGTACAGAAGGTTCGTGCAATCAAACATATGGCCCTTGTGGGCATCTTCAGAGGGCCTAGGAATTGTCAGACCGAATTAGATTGGGATCCTCCTATTCCAGGACCCTGTCTCTGACCGTGGACAGTACCAACTGCATTTGAGGAAGGTGCAAGAATCCCTGTAGCAGGCATAAATGGAATAATCTGTCCCCAAGCAATATTTCCTCCTGACCCCAGCAACCAGAGGTGGACTTATGCCCTGAAGCATGAAGGTTGATCTCTTAGCCAGAATTCCTTCCCGCCCTCTCAGTTCTCACGATAACAGCTCTGGATGGTCTCAGAACAAGCCATGAAAAAACCCAGCAAAGCAGCAGAGGCATTGGCCAGGTGCTTCCTAAAAGTGCAGAATGCACAATTAGAGTCCACACAAAGATATATCTTCTCTAGCCACTTGTCCTGCAGGCTGGACTCTCAGGCTACGTCTACACTGGCACCCTTTTCCGAAAAGTTTTCCGTTATAAGCATTTTTGGAAAAAGCGCGCCTACCTTGGCACTTTTTGCGGAAAAGCGTCTGTGCCAATGTAGACGCGCTTTTCCGCAAAAAAGCCCCGATCGCAAAAATGGCGATCAGGGCGTTTTTGCAGAAAAGCGCGTCTACATTGGCACGGACGCTTTTCCGGAAAAAGTGCTTTTCCGAAAAAGCATCTTGCCAATGTAGGCGCGCTTTTTCCAAAAATGCTTATAACGGAAAACTTTTCCGTTTTAAGCATTTCCGGAAAAGGGTGCCAGTGTAGACGTAGCCTGAGAGTCCAGCCTGCAGGACAAGTGGCTAGAGAAGATATATCTTTGTGTGGACTCTAATTGTGCATTCTGCACTTTTGACACTTATATCTATCCTCCATCATCATATGACCCCTTGGTCTGCTGCTTTATGTGAACTCCCATGCAACTGAGTAGATTATGTGCCTCTGGGGGTGTTAACGGACTAGCTACAAGCAACCCCAACCTCTTGACCTGAATACAACCCAGTTCATCTCCAGAGAACGTCTCGGAGTAAAGTTCTCTCGCTCCGTGAGTGGCTTTTTTTCCTACCCAAAAGGGACAGTATGTCCCTCCACCGAGCCCCATCCCCATGTATCTCATTTAAGAGGAGCAAGAACCAAAGAAAGAGATTCTCCAATAACCAAAAGACAAAGTCCTACCTGATTTCTGCCCAGGAATACTGGAGACTATTCCTTTCTTGCTGTGGGAAGAATATAAAGACAGACAATGGGGAAGATTTGTTTTAACGTTTGTGGATGATGCCACACAATGTGGAGAACCAGCAGAGATGCTCAACCACCTTTCTATGACTTGTTCGTCCTTGATACGAACTGGACCCCAAGTGGAATAAGTTGCCTAGGGAGGTTGTGGAATCTCCATCCCTGGAGATATTCAAGAGCAGGTTGGACAGACCCCTGTCAGGGGTGGTCTAGACGGTGCTGGGTCCTGCCATAGGGGCAGGGGACTGGACTCGATGGCCTGTCGAGGTCCCTTCCAGTTCCAGTGTTCTAGGATTCTACGAAGATGCGCCCACTCCACGTGCTGACATAGTGAAGTTGTGAGACAGTGTTAGACACTGTAGGTCAGTGGTCACCAACCAGTCGATCGGGATCTACTGGCAGATCTTGGAGCCTCTGACAGGTGATCTTGACTGGTGTGGCCAAGAGGCTGTCAAGCGCAGCATGGCAGCTTTCCCCCACTGCTGTGCATCTCCTGCTCTCTGCCTTGGGGCTGCCTCCCCTCTGCCCCCCAGAGCCTTCTGCTTTCTGTGCAAAGCAGGGACGGGAGAGGAGAGGGCGCTGATGTCAGGGTGCCCCCCTCCCACCCTATATTCTATGTCCACAGAACGGAGGGGGATGACATCAGGGATTGGGATGGAGTTTGCTGGCTGCTTTTGGGAGTGGTGCAGGGCCAGGGCAGGGGTGAGCCTGCCTTAGCCCCACTGCACCCCCACCTGAGGTAAGCAGTGTCCATCTGGAGCCAGTTCTGAACTCCTGCCCCAGTCAGGTACCCCGCATGTCCCTGGACCCAAACTCCCTCTCAGAGCCTGCTCTCTGACCCCCCTCCTGCACTCCAATTCCCTGCCCCAGACTTAGCTCAGAGCCCCACTACCACTCAAAATCCTTTAGCCTAAGGCCAGATCCTGTGCCCCAACCCTCTGCCCCTGCCTGGTGAAAAGGAGGGAGGGTGGGGGAGGGAGGGACCTCACACTGCAAATCCCTTAGCCCAAGACCAGAGCCCCCAGCCCTCTGCCCCAATCTGATGAAAGTGAGTGAGGATGGGGGAGGGAAAAAAGATGGAGTGAGCAGGGGCGGGGTCTCGGAGAAGGGGCAGGAAGAGGATGGGGCAAGGGTGTTTGGGTCTTAGGTAGATCCTGGATTGCACTTGCATTCAAAAAGTGATCTTGTGCTTAAAAAGCTTGGAGACCCCTGCTGTAGACATAGGGGCTAAATTGTGGTCTCCCTGAAGTCCACGACTCCAGCCGGACAGGAATGGTCTCCACTGATGCACGAGTTCCCGCCAGCCGGCCCGCCCCAGCGATGCACCGTACCTCAATCTGCCCCCCGTGCATTTGAGCGCACAGATCCCACAGAAAGCTGCTGGAATACGGAGGCTTCCTCCTACGTCCGTCCCAACACCCAGAATGGAGCCTCCGCTGCTAACCAGCGCCCCTTCTCCTCCGGAGGAGCCGCCGGGCGTTTTGGTGTGGTCCCGAGGGTTCACGGTCTGGCCAAAGAGTAAATTATTGCAGTCGTAGCTAGAAGAGAAAGAACATCGAGAACACACACGGCTCACTCAAGGCCTGAGCCAGCGTCCAGAGACGTCAACGGCAGCCGGTCTGTTGATTTCAAAAAGGGTGTGA